CACAGTGGCTGTGCTGTATGCTAATGGGAGGGTGCTTACTTCAACCTCAGGCAGCCTTCTCTACATAATTTGTTTAGTTTTGAAACACCATGCTTTCAATTAATTAGTGTGATTCCCTACCTAACTGAAAATAGGAGAAATCTGGTATTCATTTGGTTCTTCCTTTGCAGTGAATGCTCATATAAATAATAAAGCTTTCCCTGAGTAAAATATTGATAGACGTACAGGGCATGAAACAGCACATGCATGTGGAAAATCTCACAAGTAAAACTGAATACTAGATGCATCAGCAGCTGCCTTGTTCATACACTTTATGCATGAGGTTCAGATGTGTTCAGAAAACTATTCATGTAGATACCATTTTTTTTACTGTTTTAAGTAACTGTTTTCTTTTTTTTTAGGATGTATTTAGAGCTAATAAAATTTTCTCAGCTTCAAAATACTGTCCAGTTTATAACCTTGTTTGACAAGTTTACTCTTTCTATTTGGATTAGAAGACTAAATGTACTGAAGTGTTTAAATGAGCAAATGTCCACATTGCATTTGGCAAAACCCACTTTGATCTCTTTTGAGGAATGGTTAAACATAATACACAGAATTTAGAGTTACCATTTGTTTCACCTGATCTTTGACTATAATACAGAATATTTACAGGAAAAGCAACATATTTCTGCAGGTTTTCAGCCATATGCCCAGTTAAAAATCAAATGTACAACTGTATTTGTAAGAAAAAAAAGAAAAGAACAAAAGCCACTCTAATTCCTGTGTTGCTATTCAATGGAATATTTTGATTAATGTTAAATAGAATGTCAATTTGTCAGTAATAGCAAAGCATGTCATAGTGAGATACTGTAAATATCAAGTATATCTCACTCTGATATACTGAGCTGTCATGGAACAGAGCATTGAAGTAGTCTATAAAAATTTTATTCATAGTAAACCAGAAGCACTTGTGAAATATTGCAAACAATATAAAATAAAAGCTGTTGCATAATAAACAAGCATTTATACTTTCAAAGACAACAGAGAAACTTTTAAGGGGTCTGTCAATAGAAATTCTCAAAATCCAATGCCAAGCAAAGACCTGAGTAACAATTAAAACCAGAGAAATAAAATAGAAGCACTTGAAGATAGAAGGAAAATAGAAATTTATTTTTAATATAATTTCAAAATGCAATATTAACAAACATGCAAATAAATAGGAAACCAGATACTTTTATCCTCACAGTACTTTTTTCACAACGATATATTTTCAAACAGCTTTTCGTGATACTGCCTCTCTATTAAGCTTATGGTGCAGTTGTGGTGTCATCAATCCCATCCTAAAGCAGCAGTGAACTGAGTTTTTGCATATTCATGTCATGCACTGAAGCATCAGCAGAGGTGTCAGCTCAGAGCACAGTGGGGGTTCAAGTATTAAAGATGCTGGAAGTCCACTGGTGTAAAATGGAAGAGTACGTCATACAAGTATAGCATTCACATGTGGGGTCAAATTTAATGGGAAGGGAAGAACCAGGTTTCAAGCCTGCCTGCCTTTCTGTCATCTCCTGACCTCTGAAATTACCCCTTTGAACCATGTGGTTTCCATCACTCTACAAGTGAGCTGTCTTTTGACTGCGCTTTCTGTTTCTCTTCCATCCTTGTTGGGCTGCTTTTAGCCTTGAATGAGAATAGGGACATTGGATCGCCTTCTCTCATATCAAATGACATTTTTAATTTCAAAGTACAAATAGTAATTGGGTTGTTCCCTCATGCTCTCTTCTCTCTGGAAAGCTGTTTTGGAGTCAGCCTATGAAGATGATTAGAAATAATCTAATTTCCAGATCAAATTAATTAATGAGTGTTTGTGTCACCATAGCACTTTAGTTGAAATAGTCAATCACAGAATCAGTATGGCCTAAAAACGTGTAATATTAGTGAAAAGGATCAGTATGATACAAGGTTGCTTGGGGTAAGATATTTCTGGTGGAGATGGGAGCATTAATACCACAGTGAGACACACTGGTTATCAGAATCATGTACGGTTCTAAGTGTTTAAGTTGTAAAGGAAAAAAATGTCCTCATAAGATCTGTAGGTGCAATTTATGAGGACAGGGGAATGGAGAGTCTGTTTTACAAGAAGAAACTGTCTTCTCTAATTTAAAAAGGCTGAAATATGGTTGAGGCATTAATCTGAAGGTAAACAACTGATATATTGGGAAAAGCTATAATTGAGTTAGAGACTAAATTGGCACAAACCCCCAGAACAATGAGCTTCTGCAACTACCTCAAGCTGCGAGTTATGAGGCAAACAACTAAACTGGTTTTCAATTGGAATTTTCTAAGGGAGAATTATGGGTCTAAAATGTCCAGGGTCTGGAACACTGTAGGATATCCCTTTTTTATATATGGTCTTACATGCAGTTTAATGGTTTTGTAATCCATTTCTTGACTGCTTTTAGCAAAATTTCATTTGCATTTCATTTTTACATTTTAGATAAACAATCCTACACTTTGGGTTTTCTTTTATGAACTGAAAAATAAATTGTTTGAAAAAGTTAATTTTAACATCTTTTTAGAAATCTAGTTACATGGACTGAAAGAA